CCTTTTATGTTGTTTTTACTCTCACCCACAATAATCCACAGCCACAACAGTGGGTGGGTGGGAGAATTTGGGGAATTTAAAGTCCACACATCTTAAAGGTGCCAAGTTTGAAAAACACTGATCTAAAAGATGAAAAAAAAAATTGTCTTCACTTGGTACCAAAATTATGACAAAATAGGCAGCATCAGTCATCTCCCAACTGGGACAAGTGGTTAAGACAACCTTTCCTACAAAAATTGGTGTTTGATTTCTTGTTTGTATTTATCCTTGATATTTAGACATTCAAGGCAACCCTTTCAAGGAGGACATTCCACATATCAAAAGCCTCAAATTCCTAACCTCTTAAACATCTGAGGCATCTAAAGTTACATTAGCAGCAGAATAAACCAACTTAAATATAAAAACAAGCAGTGAAAAACATAAACAGGGCCAGGTATGTATGAAGGATTCATGTATTAATTTAAGAAATGGATAAAAATGGATTCAAAGTATTTATGTCTGCCTAAGAAGGAAGGTCCGTAAACACGGGGCCACCAGCAAGCAGACTCTCTCGAGGATCTTAGACTATCTGCCAGACCATTCCACCATCGGGTGAGGGTCCATGAATTAGTAATTCATTTGCTTAACCTTCTGTGTATCCTCCAAAAGAGGATTACATTCTTCAGTTTGGAAATCTTACTTTATAACACCGTGACTAAGTGTCCAGAAAGCCAAGCTTACCGTGTTGCTCTCCGAATATCAACGTAAGGACTGGGGGATTCAAAACATCTTACGCATTTTGGATCAATCTTGTAAAACTTTTCTGCTGATTCCTGGGGTAACCTATAGCAGCAGGGCCCAACAGATGGTCCAAGAACTACGAGGATATCTTTCACGTTACAACCATATTCTGTTACCATAGCATTAACTACAGCCATAGAAACCCCTAGTAATGTGCCTTGCCAACCTGAAAGGCAGAGAAAAATAATAATAATGTATCTTGCACTTTTAGGATTTAAATACAAAAGGATGAAAAACAACCCTGCGAATCCTACATTCAGATTACAGGAGCTTGTCTATAACTACAATAGGATGAACCTGCCTAATTTGGCACAAAAGCCAGTATTCAAGACTGAAGTCAATGTCCTATCTGTCCTTTTGTTAGGTTCAAACATCTCAATGGCAGGAGGAGCTGGTACCTCGGCCGAGGACTTAAGACCAGATGAGTATTCAAGAGAGAAAGTCCCAAGGAAGGGATCCCCCAGGATCAAAGAGTGGATAACAGCCCACAGAAGACTGCAGAATCAAAACCCGTGACCATCCCACCTGGATGCCTATCTTGGCTCTGGTCTCTTTGCTATTTCCCTTAGCATTCCAGGAAGACAAAGCATATATAGCCCCTCTTCCCTCAAGATCTCAGAGAGAGAGAGAGAGAGAGCTCTATTTTTACAGGAGGCAGCATGTGACTGGTTTCATCCTTATTAGGAAACATCAGACCTACATTGCTAGTTCTTATTCTATGGGTTCAGTCACCACTATGGCTTCTGGATGATCAGTGCAACTGAAAATATCATGCAGGACATACCTTATGTGAAAATAAATCCCACCCCTGCTGCAAAGGGGGAAGAGAAGTCAAGAAAGCCTTGTACATGGGAGCTTGACATAATGTGACATATCTCGGATGGATGGATGGATGGATGGATGGATGGATGGATGGATGGATGGATGGATAGAGAGAGAGAGAGAGAGAG